CTTAGGTTTCAGGGGTTAGGGTTTCAGGGTTTTAGGGTTCAGGGTTCTGAGGGTTTGGGGTTCAGGGGGCTGACTTGGGCACCCGGTGCAGGGTTTAGGGTTTAGGGTTTAGGGTTTAGGGTTTAGGGTTTAAGGGGTTAGGGTTCAGGATGGAGGGGGGGGGGGCTCTTTCAGTGCCTTACCTGCTGGTTCTGAGGTAGGGAAGGAGGGAATTGGCCACCCTGCATCCTCCTAGATATGAGCATATGATTAGGTTTAGGGTTTAGGGTTTAGGGTGTAGGGTTTAGGGTTTACGGTTGAGGGTTTCGTGATTCGGGATATGGGTCTTTATGATATTAGGGGGGGGGGTGCCTTGTTGGGGTCTTTATTATAAGGGGATCCTACGAACTATTTGGGGGGCTAGTATAGGGGCCCCTTGCTTTCGGAAGCCCCACATATGCCTTTAAGGGAACATGCAGTGCACCTAATCGCCAGTAAGTTATTCTCTTATGATCACAGGGCCTACTGGGCGACTAAGCTCCCCAAGCGCAAACAAAATGTGTACCGCCTCGTAGGTGTTTAGGCTTCGGGGTCGAATAAGCGGTTTAACTAAGGCATTCAGGTCTTCGTTTAGGGCCTTTTAGGGTTTTCAGGGTTTTTGATTCTTTGTGCGCACAGGGAACCAAAGGGGAGGCTATGAAGCATTGGGATGACGAGGCTTTGTGCAAGTTCGAGACCCTTCGGATTCTTGCCTTGGCAGGTGCGCCTCTCACCTACCTCCACGACGGAATCTGGCTTGCTAAGAACGGGCTACTATGCCCTCATCATGTCTGTGGCAAGCATGAAGCCACAAAGGCCAGCAAAGTTGAAGACAGCAGTGGTAAGCCTCTTGAGTTGCAGAGGTGAAGCGGTGTTGAAGGTGCAGACCTTCGAAGATGGCCTTCTCGCCAGGATGCTGGCGCAGTATCAGACTGACGCGGAGAAGGCAAACTGGTCTTCTCCGCATGATCAGCACTCGACCCCAGCTCTTGTCGGTGTCGGACACACCGGTATAGGGGAGGAACTGCTTTGCCTTCTTTTGTTGTTTAGGGCTTTAGGGGGGGTTTAGGGTGTTTATGGTTTAGGGGGACCTCTAACCCTATTGGGCTCAAGGGTTTAGGGTTTAGGGTCTAGGGTTTAGGGTTTAGGGTTTCGACAAGTAAGACGTGCAGGGGGGGGGGGGGGGCGTAAAGGGTTTACAGGATCGCTCAGGCATCCGCTCGTGACGAGGGCTTCCGAGTTCATATCTCCCGGTTTCTAAGAATAGTTCAACATATCCCTAAATCCATACCCCTTAACCTACAAAGGGAGAACAGAAGGAAGGATTTTACCATACCCCTTACTTTCTTTTTGCGGGTATGCCCAAGGGGTATGTTGGATATTTCTTAGAAGGCTACTTGGAGGTTCATGGTACTTACTAGCCAAATAGTACTTGCGCTTATAATCCAATCGTAGCCATTTTGGCGCACAATTAAGGGGCGTATAAGTGGGTTAGAAGTACAGTTGTAATTGGTCACTAGGTACCACGAACCTCCAAGTAGGCTCTTCATTCTTGAAGAGGGTGACCGGGGCTGGAGGGCTTTGGGTTTTGGGGATTCGGAGTTCGGCCTACCCTTAAATCCCCACCCACCATTAGTTACCCACCATTTCCCACCATTGCCCTAAACCCTAAGCCCCAAACCCTAAACTCTAAACCCCAAACCCTAAACCCTGAACCCTAAACTCTAAACCATAAACCCAATACCCTGAACCCGAAACCCCAGGAGCGGATCGCGTCGCTGCAGCCCGAGCTGGCGCCGAAACTCCTGGAGCTCCTGGGTTCACGTTTATTGCGGAGTTGGGGGGGTTCAGGGAGTTTAGGGTTTAGGGTTTAGGGTTTAGGGTTTAGGGTTTAGGGCCAGTTTAGGGTTTAGGGTTTAGGGTTTAGGGCTGATGAGTTTAGGGTTTAGGGTTGCGGAGATTAGGGTTTAGGGTTTAGGGTTTAGAGTTTCGGAGTTTAGGGTTTCGGGTTTGAGGCTTCGGAGTTTGGGGTTTCGAGTTTGGGGTTTCGGGTTTGGGGTTTGGGGTTTCGGGGTTGCGGAGTTTCGGGGAGGTTTGTGTGTTTTAGATTACCCCCTCCATACCTTTTTTTTACGTTTTGCGGTTTCGTAGCTTCGGGGTGGTTTGGGCAGCCTGCAGGTGTGATCCGTCTTTGCTTTAGGGTTTAGGGTTTAGGGTTTGGGGTTTAGGGTTTAGGGTTTAGGGTTCTTTCCTTGCAAAAAAATGCCATTATAAGGGGCTTTGTTACACTCCTTTATGATTGTAGTAATATGATAACGAGCCTGCGAGGCATGAATATTCTTGGCGTCTGAAAAGAGTGAACGAAACCGAAACAAGGATAGGATGATAGCGGTCTAGCCCCTGGAATAGCTGCATGAATGAATAAGATCATGCTCTTAAAGGTGCGAGCAAGACTGCCCAACTGAAGTGAATAATTTTGCATGAATTGTTAGTGGAGTGCAAAGGAAAAGATACTCGTGCTGCTTCGTTCTCTTTGCCCCGGTCGTTTGGTTTAAGTTTCTTCTGTGGCCGTCATTTCATATTACACTTATGCGACCATTCGCTCATCGTATGGTTATAACAAGCAAAATCGTAAAGAAGAAGACAAAAAACAACGAGATGGGAAAGAGATGGAAGTTCCGTTACACATGAAAACCGTGCCTCTTCGTTTCTTCCTTGCTTCTGCCTCAGCGTCGTTTCATGTCAAACTAGCTCGAAGTGTGAGACAAAAGAGAAACCCGACCAAGGGCATCCTAGGTACGAACTACCTTTTCTGTTCTAGATTTCTGAATTTTCCGGGTGTTTCTTTTGGCTTCATGGTTTGGTGTTTAGGGTTGTTCCTCTATCATCTTCCTTTTCAGAGATTCTGGAAATGTTCATGCGCAATCTGTTTCACTTGTATAGTTCCTCTTCGGAACAAGACAAGACATGAGTAATGCTCTAAATTAGGGTCGAATTTGGGGTCCTCCTTGTACAGGTGCCGCACTATATATACCACCCAATCAGGACCCTAATTCAGAGGACTACACCTAAACCCTAAACCCCAAACCCTAAACCCTAAACCCACATGGTCAGCAAAACTATGCCGCACTTGGTCGGGCTTTTAACTGAATTTTGCGAGGCTTTAGGAACTTTAGGGTTTGGCTTCCTTTGGGGATCGAGGAGTTTGGGGGAGGTTTAGAATAAGAGCCTAAACCCTCAACCCTCAACGCCTTCGAGAGTTTAGGGAGTTTCGGGCTCAGCGCTCGCGGTGTTTGGGATGTAGGGGGTCTAGGGCCTTAAAGGGGTTTGAACGGGGGGCCGGGGGGGGGGGGGGGGGGGGGCGATCTTGTGTGTAGGGTTTATGGTTTGTTTAGGGCTTAGGGTTTAGGATTTATAGGCTCATCAACGGTCTTGTTGGGGGCTTTTTAGGGTTTGTAGGTTTGTAGGAAGTATGGGGCTTATGGGGGACTTAGGGTTTTGAGGGTTTTGGGCTTGTTTTTCTTTAAAGGTTTATGGGGTGTTGTTTACGGCTTATGGGTTTTATAGGGTTTTGGAGAGTTTAGGCAGTGTAGGGATTTCGGGAGTTGAGGTCTATGGGGTTGCAAGCTGCTGGTCGTGGTTTAAAAAAACTAATGTCTTCCCACTCCTTCTTACAGAAAGAAATGGAAGGAATTGGGTACTTTACATCCCCTACATAAATGTTATATGTATACCCCGCTAAGGGATTCTAACGGGTACCTAATTCGTTATTTGACAGGACTCAGTCTCAGGGGAAGGGACTTACAAATCCCTCAAGCCTAAACCCCAAACCCTAAACCGTGCCTAATCCCTAAACCCTATACTCTAAACCCTAAACCCCAAACCCAGGTTCATTGAGAATCAGGGCCCCCGCGTCATCGACGAGTGCATGCAATCGGAGCCTCAGTCGCAGGGTGTAGGGACCCCCAGGAACCTTCAACCGAAGATCCTCCCAAACCCTAAACCCCTAAACCCTAAACCCTAAACCCTAAACCCTGTCTATACGGTTTGAGGTTCAGGCTTTTGTGTTTCCGGGGGGGGGGGGGGGAGAGAGGAGAGGGGCAGTGCAGGTTTGCTTTGGGGGGCTTGGGGGTTGGTCTAGGGTTCAGGGTCTAGTGTGTAGGGTTTAGGGTTTAGGGTGTAGGGTTTCCGGTAGGGTTTAGGGTTTAGGGTTTAGGGCTCTACTGGCCTTTGGGCTTTAGGGCAAACTTTAGGGTTTAGGGCATGCGCTGGCTTTGCTTTGGGTCCCTGGGTGAGTGTTCTTTCGGGGCTTCAGGGAAGCGTTCTTAGGGCTTTGGAAGTTATCCCTAAACCCTAAACCCTAAACCCTAAACCCTAAACCCTAAACCCTAAACCCTAAACCCTAAATCGCTTCAGGGCTTTTTTAGGCTTCGGCGCGAGCCCTTTGCCTTCAGGACGCAGCGCTCCGGCGGCATGTCGAGGCCCGGTGCCCTAAGCCCCTTCAGGGTTTAGGGTTTAGGGTTTAGGGTTTAGCGTTTAGCGTTTAGGGTTCAGGGTTTAGGGTGTAGGGTGTAGGGTTTAGGGGTTAGGGTTTAGGGTTTAGGGTTGAACCCTAAGCTTTTTTCGATTTTGTTGATTGTCAAGGCCCAAGCTGGGGTTCAGGGTTTAGGGTTGAAATGTCTGTTGTTGGTGAGCGCAAAATAGAGGGTTCCTCACAGATGAGGGTTTGCCGCTACTAGATTAGAATCCACTCAAAGGGACCACTTGAAAGGCTATCCCTGTGTTTGGAACCCCAAATATTGGTGAGTATATTTGTGAGGTTCCTTTCGAGGATGCGAGTGGCCCCACCGCCTTCTGCCCCTCGCCATCGTGTGCACAGGACCACATTTTACCCTCGCGATACGGCAACGGCTGTCGTTCTTGGGGTTAAGTTTTTCTTGGGATTAGGAATTTGTGTTGATGGTACCTAAACCCAAAACCCTAAACCCGAAACCCTAAACCGCTGCACGACGCTGGCCTCGCAGGGTTCTACGGTCAGATATGCCTGCAGGTAGTGTGATTTTCGGCATACCCAGGGCAGGAGGGCTGCTCCTCTGCGTTTGGAGAAGCTGCTTCACACTCACAATCATGAATCATGACATCCGGAGAACCCTAAACCCTAAACCCAAACCCTAAACCCTAAACCCTAAACCCGGGTGTAGGGTTTAGAGTTTAAGGTTTGGGGTTTAGGATGGTTTAGGGTTTAGAGTTTGCAGTCTAGAGTTTAGGACAACCCTGCAGAGCTCCTGAGATTGCTAGACCAGGAGAGACCGGCTTTATCGGCTCACACACACACACACACACACACACACACACACACACACACACACACACACACACACACACACACACACGCACACACACCCGACAGCAGAGCCAATTTTGCGTAGCTTCTCGGGTCTTAGAATTGGAGATTCCCTAAACCCTACACCCACAACGTGCTAAGGGGAAGCTGGGGGGCACTTTGTTCGGGGCAAATGCCAAGCCCCGAGTTGGTTCAGAAGAGCGTTTGCCGTCTACAGGGCTTACTGCGGGGATCCACCGTGCATGGGTTGCCCAAGCATGGGGCTTAGGGTTTAAGTTTTAAGGCTTTAGAGTTTGGGGTTTAGGGTTCATCTAGGGGTAAACCTTGGACCCTGGACCCTAAACTGAAACCCTAAGTTCTCAACCCTCCACCCAAATCCCCTCGACCCTAAACCCCAAGCCCTCAAAGTGTCTCCTATGCCCCACCCATGAGGCTGGCTTAATCGACCTCTTTGCTGCAGAGGTGCATTGCGCATACTGGGTCGACGTAGCAGTTCTCGGGTTCAGGGCTTCGAGTTTCGGGTTTCTGGCTCAGGGTTTAGGGTTTAGGGTTTAGGGTTTAGGGTTTAGGGTTTAGGGTTTAGGGTTTAGGGTTTAGGGTTTAGGGTTTAGGGTTTAGGGTTTAGGGGCTGAAGTGCCATGTCCCACCCTCAGCAGCAACAAGACCTCGGAGGTCGGCAGGGCGGCTAAAGGAATTACAAAAGGTCGGTATCACAAAACCGAAATAGACACCATGGCCAGCACCTTTGTCATAGTTGGGTACCATTTTACATTGCTTAAGGGTACTTAACCCCATAAGGAATGTAAACTTAAATTGTCAATATTCTCCTAACCATGAACTAGGCACCACCAGATACTTTTGGGGAAGCCCGGGGCAAGAGAAGTAGCAGCGTGTTGTTCCGGGCCGGTTCTCTTTCCCAGGCCTCCCTCAGAAGCAGGAGCAGGCGAAAAATAAGCAGGCCATGTCATGCATCATGTGATTCAGGAAGAGCAAAGCACACGAATAGAATTTAATTCATGAACAGATTAGTTAAGTTTGTTCGTGCAGCAGACAAAAGGCACCCAAGACACCTCGGCCGGCTGACCAGCCATCATCATCCGAATCTTGCCGTAAGCCCTAACACCCTAAACCCTAAACCTAAACCCTAAACCCGAAACCCTAAACCCTAAACCCTAAACCCTAAAACCTAAACCCTAAACCCTAAACCCTAAACCCTAAAGCCCCTGGAGCATCGCGCGCAGGAGCGAGCCGCCGACCCGGGGCCCTCGCAGTGCCCTGCTTCCACCAGGGGGACCTAAGCCTTATAAGCCCTAAGCCCTAAACGGGTTTCGGGTTTCGGGTTTAGGGTTTAGGGTTTAGGGCTAGGGTTTAGGGTTTAGGGTTTAGGGTTTAGGGTTTAGGGTTTAGGGTTTAGGGTTTAGGGTTTAGGGTTTAGGGTTTAGGGTTTAGGGTTTAGAGACGCCGAGGCTCTTCCAAAAGGGGCCGGGCCACAGCCTACCCGGGGCAGGCGCATCGCCGGGACGCCCAGAATTACCAGGTCCTTAAGACGGTTTAGGGTTTAGGGTTTAGGGTTTAGGGTTTAGGGAATAGGGTGTTGAGTGTTTCGGGTATTTTTCGGGTTCTTAAGGGAGGCGGGGTTCTTAAACATGGTTTAGGGTTTGTATTGGGTTTACACATGGTTTAGGGTTTATATAGGGTTTAGGGCGTTTTTTTGATACGGTCCTTAAGGGAGGGGGGTTCAAGGGGGTATACCACCCAAGATTCCTATACTGCTCCCCTGCGACTCCCTGAGCTTCCCTAAGGTTCCCTAGGTACCTGCCCCCACCATGGATCCTCCCTCACCCTAATTAGACCCTAAACCCTAAACCCTAAACCCCCCAAGAACACTCCTCCCTGAAGAGCCCTAGAAAAGAAGCAGCTGGGTGTTTGGACTGTCGGGTTTTGTCGAGCAGAGGTTGACATGATGTCCTTCGCAAGAAGCGTAAGTTGCAGCTTAAATGTAGGGTTCAGGGTTCAGGGTTTAGGGTTTAGGTTTTAGGGTTTAGGGCCTAGGGTTTAGGCTTTGGGGTTGAACCGTTGCTATTTTTTCCGGAGGGAAATAACGAAATGGCTTGGAGTTTAGGGTCTAGGATAGCGGGGTGGAGCTTTCTACTAGGACCCAGCATAGGCCCTGATTCTTTTGTTTTAGGTTTTAGGTTCCCTGATACTCCCCTTTACACCAAGAATCACCCTTTTTGTTCCTAGGGTTACTCTTGGGTCACCCTAAACCCTAAACCCTAAACCCTAAACCCTAAACCCTAAACCCTAAACCCTAAACCCTAAACCCTAAACCCTAAACCCTAAGCCTAAGCAATGGTAGAACCCTGAATCCTAAACAGCCCTAAATCAGGCTCAAGTCAACTTTAAACCCTCCACCCTCAAGGGTTTAGGGTTTGGGGTTTAGGGTTTAGGGTTTAGAGTGGTTTGGGGTTTAGGGCTAGGGTTTAGGGTTTAGGGCTTGGGGCTGGTCTCAGCTCGAAGAAAGGACGACACCAGTGATACGCTCGATCAATGCTTCTGCTGCAGCCTCGGGTAGCCTAGGGTTTGGGGTTCGAGGATTTAAGGGCTTAGGGTTTAGGTTTAGGGTTGTAGCTATATGGTTTAGGATTAGGGTAGAAATCCCCCCCCCCCCCCCCCCACCTCACCTAAACCCTAGCCCGTCAAAAGCTAAACCCTGAAGCCAAGCGCCCTAGCCCTAAACCCCAAACCCCAAACCCCAAGCCCTAAACCTCAAACCTTAACCCCTAAACCCCAAACCCTAGCCCTAAACCCCAAACCCCAAACCCCAAGCCCTAAACCCTAAACCTTAACCCTAAACCCGAAACCCTGAGCGGCCCCAAGTCTACAGACCCCGAACAGCATCCCCAACTTTTTATTCGGCCCTCGCATTCCTCACATCCCAAGCCCTCAATCCCAGAAAAGCTCCCAGCATAATCGGGTTATAGGTTTTCGGGTTTAGGGTTTCAGGCCCCCTAACTGCTGGGTCTCGGGTTTCGGGTTTCGGGTTTAGGGTTCCGGGTTTCGGGTTTAGGGTTGCAGCTCTTCCTGGTCCTTCACTCCGAAACATCCCAAAGACTGTTGACATTGGCCTTTTCGGCGGCTTCGGGCTGAAGCCAATTAGCCTGTGTGGTTCTTTACTGTGACTTTAGATGCTTCTTGCCTTTTTTTTGGTTTATTGGGTTTCTTGATAAGGCAGCCAAAAAGTAAATTTGTAGCCACCCTCCTAAGTGCAGCCAAGAAACAAAGTAGCCAGTTTGAAGGCCGGCCTGCTGACATTGCTCCAGAGCAAGGCTGTGGTATCTTTCAGCGGTGTACCATTGCACGTGACATGTGTGCAGACTCTGGCGGGCAGCCGACGTGCTGTAGTGCGAAGCGACGCACTGCAAGGGACGGCTGGCCGGCTGCTGGTACTGCTATCGCAGCAGCCGCTCAGCGGCAGGGAGACTTCTGCGTGCAATGGCAATGCCCCGGCGCTGCCCATCAGCATAACTATGGAGATGGTGGCTGGGAGTCCTAGGACCCAGAGTATAGGCCCTTACTCGCATGGTTTTAGGGCTTAGGTCCTAAGGTTCCCCTTATAAGACACCCTTTCAAACCCAAAAGGTTCTCCTTTTTTCATTCCTAGGTTAGAGCCTCTGGAGTTTTCCAAAATCCATGTTCGTCCCACAGCCTGAATTTCCGCATTGTGTGCCCTCTTGTAAACCCGAAGCTTATGAGCAAATGCAGTCAATTCGCTCCCTTGGCGAAACTCACCCCTAAACCCTACACCCTAAACCCCTAAGCCGCCACTGCGGCACCCCCACGGCACCCCTCCCCCCAAAAGAAAACAATGAAACAAACACTGCGAACCTTGAACACCTGAGCCCCAGAAGCAAGCCGTTAAATCACTAAGAGACCTGAAGCCCCTAATCCCTTAAGACCCGGAAGGGTTTAGGGTTTGAGGTTTTTGGTTTAGGGCTTAGGTCCTATAGGGCCTGCGACCCGAAGTCCCCAAACCCCAAAGGCCTTAACTCCCTGCCCAAAATGAGACCCGAAACCACCCAAACCGCTAAACCTTTCTGCTCTGAAACCCCAAACCACGCCCAGTAACCCTGAAACCTTAAGACCCTAAACCCTGAACCCTAAACCCCTTCATATCAACTTCAAGACCCAAACCAATTTTGACACTAAACCCCGCAAGCCCTCAAGCCCCGAGCAAGGGTCCTAAGTATGGGCCCTTAATTTGGGTCCCTTGTCATTTAGCTGCAATTACATAATAAAGGCCCATGCTTGTAAGGGACCATACTAAGGGCCCATGACTAAACCCTAAACCCTGAACCCTGAACCCTGAACCCTACTCCCTAAACCCTAGACCCAAATCAGAGGCCCATGTATATGTAAATACCCCCGAGAGAAAACCCAGGTCCGGCCGAAGGCCTTCCAGACGAAGCCAAGCACTCGAGGCCAAGGAGCTCCCGCGGAGGCTTCTTTTTTGGTGGGGTTTTGGGGTTTGGGGGTTGAGGTTTAGGATTTAGGGTTTGGGGCTTAGGGTTTAGGGTTTAGGGTTTGGGGTTTAGGGTTTGGGGTTTGGGGTTTAGGTTGGTTTGGGGTTTGGGGTTTAGGGTTTGGGGCTTGGGGTTTAGGTTGGTGTAAGGTTTGGGGTTTAGGGTTTTAGGGTTTTTTGGTTTTAGGGTTTTAGGGCTTCAGGTTTTTTTGTTTTTGGGTTTTGTTTTTTTTTTGGTTTAAGGGTTTTAGGGTTTTAGGGTTTCAGGTTTTGGGCTTTTTGGCTTTTTGGCTTTTTGGCTTTTTGGCTTTTTGGCTTTTTGGCTTTTAGGGTTTTTGGGTCTTTGGGTTTTTGGGTTTTTGGGTTTTTGGGTTTTAGGGTTTTACGGTTTAGGGTTGGTTTGAGGCTTTGGGTTCAGGGTCTAGGGTTAAGGGTTTCGGGTTGAGGGTTTGGGTTTCAGGGCTTAGGGTTTCATCAGCAGACGACGTACTCGGATGACCGCAGTCTTGGTGTGGAGCTCTGGGTGGTCATGGCAGCCTCAGCAGTGGAGGGGGCAGCGACAGTATCAAGAACATATTCTTGTCCTCCGTCTTGCTGAAACGCAAGGCAGTTTCCGGGTTTTTGAGTCGGCAGTCCATGAACACTTTTACCAAGGAGAGAGTACTGTTTAGGGTTTAGGGTTTAGGGTTTAGGGTTTAGGGTTTAGGGTTTAGGGTTTAGGGTTTAGGGTTTAGGGTAATCGTTTCTAACCCTAAACCTATGACGCCCCCACCCCCCCGAAAAAGAAACAGAAAACACCCTAAACCCCATTATAACAAAAAACAACTCCTAAGCCCTGAACCCTTTAACGCCAAACCTAAACCCTCAAACGCTTCAACCCTGAAAACCAGAAGCCCTTAAGCCCATTAACCAATCAGCACAACCGTTAAGCCCGTAAACCCCTACTCCCGAAACAGCCCCTACGCCCTAAAACCTTTTAGCCTTGAAGCCCTTAAACCGCAAAACTCCAACCCTAAACCCCCCAAACGCTAAACCCTAAACCCCAATGCCACATCCTAAACCCCATACCCTGAACCCTAAACCAGAAACCCTAAACCCTAAACCCTCAGCTCCAAACCAACCCTAAACCCTAAACCCTCAAACCCTAAGCACCAAACCCTGAACCACCCCTAAGGTTGTACTCTTAAAGGTTCCCCTTAGTTAGCCAAATTGTAAGATGGCCCTTGTACTATGTTAAGCATCTGTAGGAAGGGTCCCCAAAAACCAAGGCTGCCACCCTAAGCGTCCAAGGTGCAACCCCCTAAACCCTAACCCTAAACCCTAAACCCTAAACCCTAAACCCTAAACCCTAAACCCTAAACCCTAAACCCTAAACCCTAAACCCTAAACCCTAAACCCTAAACCCTAAACCCTAAACCCTAAACCCTAAACCCTAAACCCTAAACCCTAGCCTTGATTGTCTAGAATGCCGGGTAGGCACAAACATTGGGCTCACGGATTGGGGTTTCTGGGGGCACTGGAGTGACTTCCTATGCTAGGGTTTCGGAGTCCAGGGTCTTTTAATGGGGCTTAAGGGATCAGGGTTTCGGGTTTTAGGGTTTAGGGTTTAGGGTTTAGGGTTTAGGGTTTAGGGTTTGGGGTATAGGGTCTTGGGGATGAGAGATGCGTCTTGTCTACGGCCAGGTGCCCCCAAGTCTGCCGACGCCCACGATGGCCGGATACCACCGCGTGGTGCAGGACGACTTAAAGGGTACGAAAATAGGGGATGCCCAATATAGATCCCCAAATGGTAGGATTCCCTCTTTAAGGACCCCAATAAGGTACCCCAGGTTATATGGGGGTTTACGAATCCCTTACGATAAGGACCCCAACAAGGTACCTCGAATTTCGGAAAACCTACATATGGGCCCTTGTTGTGGTCCCCTACCTCGTTTAACTCAAGGGTTCTGAGGTATGGGCCCTTGGGTTGTATAAGGCAAATAAGGGGTACTTAAGGGGTCCCCTTTTTATCCTTTGAGCTGACGAGCGCGTTTAAACCTTTCAACTATGCTCCAGCGGGGTCGGCGGCTTGAGCCGGAGGCTCTTAAATCCGGCCCCCGCGCCGCCCGTGGTCCAGGGCGGAGCCCGCGTCGCACTAAAGCGCTAGCTTTAAGGGGCGAGCGCCCAAGCCGCCGACCCCGCCCAAAATTGCTTCAAATTCGCGCGGGGCCCTTCGGGAGGCCTCCAAAACGACATCCAAGGGGACGCAACACGCGGTGGTGCGAAAAGCACGAAAACCTCGTAAAAAACCATGGGCTTTTACGAAAAACCGAGGCCACAAAACACCCGCAGCACCCCATTAAACCCTCGCGGGCGCGCATCATCGGCCCTAGCTTTTCACATGGGGCGTGCGCCAGGCCGAAACCACGTTTTTCAAGGTTTGGGGGGGGTACCGGAAGCCCAAAACCAGGCGAGCATCATGAGCATCAGCAGCCCTGGCCCGCGGCCCCAAGGCAGTAAAAAACGCTGAAAAACGCTGAAATCACCGTAAATACCGTGTTTTTATGAGGTTTTTCGCGTGCCTCCGACCCCCACCCCTGTTGCCCTTGACCCGCCCCCAAAGTGCGCATCATCGAAACCCACGTCCGGGGGGGGCTCTGCTGATGCTGCTGATGCGCGGGGGTCCGGCGCATCATCGAGCCATCGTTTCTCATGGGCTTCGTGGGCCTCCGGGGCCGACGGCCCAGAGACCCAGCTGATGCTCATGATGCTCGTTTTGGGGGGGGGTTCCAACAGCAGAAAACCTCGTAAATACCGAGTGTTTTGTGGGTCCACGTAAAAACGCCCCTAAAATCGCTCATTTTACGCGCTCGAACGGCTTCGTGCCTACAAAACACCCGAACAGCAGGACCCCGAATGCCCTTAAGGGCATTCGGGGTCTTGCTTTTGGGGGTTTGGTGGGCACGCAAGCGTTCAAGCACATACAATCGGCGTGTTTAAGGGGGTTTTGGATGGCCTGGGGGAGGCCGCTGATGCTCATGATGCTCCCTTTCCTGGGTCCCAAAAGGGCTTCCCAAGCCCAAAAACACGTGTGTACAGCGTTTTCTGAAGGTTTTTCGAAGGCAAAACGCATGCATAGAATGCTTTTAAGGCCCCCAAACCAACCCCACTGATGCTCCTGATGCGGGTGCGCGCGCGCGCGCGCGGGCGCCGGCGCGCGGGGGGGGGGGGGGGGGGGAGGGAGGGGGGGCGAAGGCAAGAGAAAGAGAGACAGAGAGAAGGAGAGGACAAAGACACGGGAAAGAGAAGACAGTGCCAAGGTTCAAGGTTTCGTGCTTTGGGGGGCGGGGGCCGGCCCGTGCCGCTAGGCCTGAAATTTAAATAACCTGAAGTAGCATTAATTTGGGAGGGGACTTCGGGGGGTCGTACAGGGGGGGTAGTAGGGGAACCCATCCCTCAAACCCTTACCCAACACCTGAATGTCCGGATCAGGGTTGCAAGAGCCCTGCCAGGTCCCGCATGCGGGGCTACTTCCTTCAAACCCCCTGAAAAGGCCATAATGATTCAGGGTCTAGGGGTTAGGGTACAATAATGTTCATACCTAGCAGCCAAAGAAAACAAGTATCCTTGTTAGTACACACCTGCATGACGGCGCACTGGCCTAAGAAGGAGATTCGGATGCGAGAGGGGTACCGCAGATTTTGTTGAAGTAATCACGTGGTTCCGAGGGGGCTTAGGGTTTAGAGTGGCCCCTTCGCTACATTTCTCCTAGGTAGGATAAGGGGGACCCTTAAAAGGGAACCCCTTCTTAACCCTCTTTTGCCTCTCTTAAACAGGGACCTAGTTCAGAGGGTCTATATTTCCAAGGGTCCCCCTAATCCTATCCCCTAATGTCAATCCAAAGCATTTCTTGGTGTGAGAGGGCAGTGGTACCGTGAGGGCTCATTCTGCACCGTGCCTCTATGTCTGGTAAGGGCTCCCTACACCCTAAACCCTAAACCCTAAACCTCTCTTACTATTATATATATATATATATATATATATATATACATACATACATACATACACATGTTGTATATATATATATAAACCCTAATGACTTCGTCGGCATAGGCACAGACCTTAGTCGGCAACCCCAACCCCCGCTTCCTCAAACCCCCTTCAGGGTTTCAGGAAATCAGCCCAGGACTTAGGGTTGAGGCGGCATTGGGGTTCAGGGTGCAGCCCGTGTTTAGTGTGCAGGGCCTAGGGTTTAGGTGTATAGAGTTTCAAGGCTTAGGGTTTAAGATGCAGCTGAAAAGGACATTTTTGTTCTTAATGATATGGGATTATCGGGGTGGGTGGGCACTTCTCCATCACAAGATGAAAAAGCTCGACTAGTGAAAGCTAGTACATGAGCGGCTGAACCCCTAAACCCTAAGCCCTAAACCCTAAACCCTGAATCCTAAATCCTAAATCCTAAATCCTAAGCCAAACCCTAGACCCTAAGATCCTAAACCCTATACGCTAAACCCTGAACCCTCAACCCTAAACCGTAACCCTAAACCCTAAACCGTAACCCTAACCCTAAACCCGAAACTCTACAATCCTAACTCAGCAATGCAGCAGTAGAAGCTCAGGACTCACCTGCCCCCCCGGCCAAGCCGCGTGTTGTTGCTGCAGAGACGAGGCTCCATCGTCTTGGGGGGTTTTGGGGCTTCAGGGAATTTCGGGTTTAGGATTTAAGGTTTAGGCTTTAGGGTTTAGGGTTCAGGGTTCCCACATCACAAACCCTGAACCCCAAACCCTAACCCCCAACCCCTTTTTTTCAAGAACAGGGCCTAAACCCAAAACCCCAAACCCCAAACCCTAAACCCCAAAACCCTAAACCCTGAACCCTGGTGTTCGGTCTCAAGGCATCGACGCGCACGCTACGGCCCAAAATTCCCAAACCCCCCAAATAGCTTGTAGCGGAGATCCAAAACCTTGAGCCCTACACTCCCGAACGGCTTCGGGTTTGGGGTCTAGGGTCTAGGGTCTAGGGTTTAGGGTTTAGGGTTTAGGGTTTAGGGTTTAGGGTTTAGGGTTAGGGTCAAACCCCCTGAAAACTGCCCCCGGCTTGGACTCAGATCATCTCCGGCCGCACCAGCGCGGTCAGGCAGGAATCCGCTGGGCTGTACCCCAAAAGCCCCGAAGGATGGGTTGAAATGGAGGTTTCCGAAAAAGGGGGTTTAGGGTCTAGGGTTTAGGGTTTAGGGTTTAGGGTTTAGGGTTTAGGGGACTTACTGGGGTGATAATTAGACGGGGATCCTACTATTTTGGGATGTACCTTGGGGGGTCCCCTAGTTTCGTAAACCCCCATATTGGTATTCAGGGCTTCGGGTTGTAGATTGAGGCTTAAACAGGGCTTAGGGTTGCGAGTTTAGGGTTTGGGGCATATAGAAAAAGGTGTACGGACATGGGTGAGGGGTCTGGGTGAGGGGTCTGGGTAGATTTCCTATCAATGTCCCTCAAGGAAGGAATACTCACTAAATGCCAGTAGGACCCTAAACCCGAAACCCTAAACCCTAAGCCCTAAGCCCTAAACCCTAAACCCTAAAGCCTAGGTCACGGGCTATTCGTTGCAAGCGCTGGGGTTGAAAGGTTTAGGGTGTTTAAGCGCTTTTGGCAACATGTGGGTGCTGGAGGCGAGGGCTCCTCAGAGCCTAGTTATATGCGGTTTAGGTTTAGGGTTAAATGCTAGAGGGTGTAGTGTGGGCCCTTCATATGGTCCCTTACCTCCTTTTTTGTGGCTCTGAAGTATGGGCCCTTGGGTTTTATAGGGTATATCATGGGTATTCAAGGCTGTCCCCTTAGAGAGGGCCCAGACTCAGGGACCATGGAGCTAGCCTAAGACTATACACCCGACAAAATCCTCTAAGCCCTAGGAGCCCCCCCCCCCCCCCCCCCCACCATAACCCTTACAAGCCCTTAGAAATCCCAGAAATTTTAAAAATCCTATGAGGCCCGAAAGCCCCGCAAGGCCTCAGGTTTTCGGGCTTAGGGCTACGGTTTAAGCTTTCGGGAGGGCTTGGGGGTTGCCAGGTTTGGAGTTTAGGGGTTTAGGGGTTAGGTTGTGGGGCATGTAGGGTTTAGGGTCACCCGAAAGTCGTTGAACCTCGCGTCGTACGAAGGAAAGTTCAGGGTGGGAATTCCGGAACCCTAAACCCTAAACCCTAGGCCCTTAGCCCTTAGCGCTTCATACAAGGGTCCTTGCTCACTCCTCCAGCGCAGCCCGAAGTTGAGAGACGCATGCTGGCCGCCTGGGCACACAGGAGAGGTCGCCGGTTTAGGGTTTAGGGTTTAGGGTTTAGGGTTTAGGGTTTAGGGTTTAGGGTTTAGGGTTTAGGGTTTAGGCCGGGTTTAGGGTTTAGGGTCTAGGTAGGGTTTAGGGCCTCCCCTTAAACCCAGGCAATCCGAAGATCTTGACCCAGGAGTCCTGGCTTGATTGTCTCTAGCCTTAAACCCTAACTTAGCACCCAAAGCCTCTTTGGCGCCTCAGGCCTCTTGCACTCAGGAAGCTCAGGTCACATAAGCCCTGAAGTTCATGGCATGGGGCTTCGTCTTTAGTACTTTTTGTACACCGTAAGCCATAAACGCTCAACCCTACGCCCCTAAACCCTTAAGCCACCACAGGGAACCAAAGGACGGATAGGCCTTTTGCCGATGGCGACGTGGCCGCTTGCAGAGCTATGGACTCTTAGCTTATGCAGCACGAAACCTTTTCGGGTTTAAGGTTTAGAGTTTCAGGTTTAGGGCTTGGGGTTTAGGTACCCCATCTCGTCAATGAAAGGTAGCTACTTCCCGGTTTGCGTGCAAGCTGAAAGCAAAGTCTCATACCTGATCCAGCTGCAGTATCCTCCTGAATCCTACCTTAGGAACACAAATTAATTGTAGGTTACCTAAGAATCCTAAAAGGTCTTTTGTCATAAGAACCTGCAAATGTAGGCGTTGGGTCCGCTCAACTTTCAACCTTGTGTAATCGCACTGTATAACAATGAGTAGCACCTAGGATCCTTTCTTCAGAGGCTTCAGGGACTAAGCTGCAGCAGTATCTCCTTGAACCCTAAACTAAACCCCTCGCCCTGTAAGTGCAGAAAGCTACGCTCTACATGCACGTTCAAAATGAGTAGCCCCCTACATTGCCCTGAGCCCGGGAGGACTTGCGGCGCAGGGCTTACGTCAGTTAATTTTAACGCTACGCGACCCGCCTCGGCCTGGCCTCGGAGTTGGGGTGGGGATGGGGGTGCGTGGGGGAGGGTGGGGGGGGTGGGGGCCGGACTTGTGCTCCCCATACACCTATGCCCCAAGGCCTTGACGGATTCAAGGCATGCTTTTGGATATTCATGTGTAGCTTGTATGTAGTTCGGCTATAGCTTGCTTCGGGATCAATCATTGAAACTCTAAACCCTAAACCCTAAACCCTAAACCTCAAACCCCCGTACTTCTCTTAGGGTATTTGACTGCCTGGAAACAAGCTCACCTCGAAGGCGCAAGGGTTTAGGGTTTAGGGTTTAGGATCTAGGGTTCAGGGTTTAGGGTTTAGGGTCTAACCCCCAAATCTCAAGCCTATCTTTGGGGTTTAGGGTCTAGGGCTTAGGACCTGAAGTTGTTTTCAGCTCGACCGACAACCCCTAAAGACTAGGACTAGGAAGAGCGGCCGTTTGCCCTTTCAGGGTTTTCGTTTCCTCAACTAACGAACAGAAATAGTTTAGGGTTTATACATGGTTGAAACAGACTTTACATTGCTCTTATTTGTTGAGTGTATTTAGGGTTCCTTACAAACCTTGGTGACTATATATATATACACATATACATTTACATAATATATATATATATATATATAGATATATGTACATATACATGTGTATATCTATATAAATTTGTTTATTGGGCGTCCTTTTCAAAGTCCGGGCAGTTCAAGCCCCGCCCAAAAGTGGTCTGTGAACCCCAAACCTCAAACCCGTAGCTCCAAGCCCTAAACCCTAACCCTAAACCCGAAACCCTAAACCCTAAACCCTAAACCCTAAACCCTAAAACCAGACCCAGGATGTATTTCCCTAAACCCTAAACCCTAAACCCTAAACCCTAAACCCTAAACCCTAAACCCTAAACCCTAAACCCTAAAACCAGACCCAGGATGTATTTCTTTTGGTCCTCATCCTCGCGATCCTCGGCCTGGCGATTGCTTGGCGCTTGAACAGGGTTATATAAGGGTTCGGGCTTAAGGGTTCAGGGTTTAGGGTTTAGGGTTTAGGGCTAAGGGTTTAGGGTTTAGGTTTTAGGGTTTCGGGTTTCGGGTTCAGTGTTCGCTGTAATTGGGCGCAGAAGCTGCGAAGCTTGGGGTGCAGACCGGCTTCGAAAGCTTCGTGAGATGCGAGCGGCCCTGGCCCGATTATGGAGCGCCATCTAAGACTTTGATCCCACCCCACGCCGTCCCAGGCGGCAAAACCACCTTGACCTATTCCCTTTAGGGTTTAAGCCTCAGAAGGTCCCACAGAGCAGTGTCGGCAAGGGCGTCCGAGGAGGTCGCGGGTGTGTCCCAGAAGTCCCTCACGTGTTAGAGGTTTGAGGTTTGCAGATGAGGGTCTAAGTGGGGGGATCTGAGCCATGATGCTAGCAAGTGGCGCGACGATGGACACCAGTAAGCGGACACCGTGGAGAAAGCCTGGGATGCTCAATCTTGCTAGATTTGGACCCCTGGACCCCTTATACAGTCCTTAATAGGGATTATAGTACCCCCGATTATAATCCCTATTAAGGACTGTTAGTGTAGGGGGGAAGAATTGCTACAACTCATTCGAAGGTTATCGTCTTCGCAAGCCCCAAAAGTGTGAGTCATGCGGGTGAGGTATGTCGAACATGTTCAGGCGCGTGTGTGCATGCGCACATGTATCTTTTTGGGGTGTTCTGCTTGGGTCAGAAAACTGGTGCTTGATGCTCGTTTTCACCGCAGCTTTCTTTAATCTGCCTCTGCCCCCTGCAACCCAAAGCCCTCCCTCAACTCAAAATTCCTCAGGCACGCCTCCCCCCCTCCCCCCCTCCCCCACATAGGTGCCTTAGCCGATGTGACCAAATCCTTAGGACCTTCGTCGCACCTTCACTGCAACAGCAAACAAAACGTACGCTTCCCATGTTTGACTGCCACACTTGCTGCAGCCTTGACGACTGTGCCTTGCAAGACTGCAGGGTATGCCACTGGCATGGCAACCACATAGCCGGGGTTTAGCGATCGGTGTAGTATTCATTTGCATCCCTCAACTCCTCGACCCGTGGCCCCAACTGTGTTGGGCCTTATCAAGCCGTTGTCGCTCACCCTAAACCTTATAAACACTAAACCCTAAACCCTAGACCCTAAACCGTAAACCCTAAACCCCAAAACGTAAACCGTAAAGCCTAAAGCCTAAAGACGAAAGAACTGCTGAGTCATTAGATGACAGATTATGATAGTCCTGAGACTTAGGCATTTCCCAACATAGCACTCTTTTAGTATACCCCAAAGTACCCTTCGGAACCCCCGACAAGTATACCCGGCCCTCTTCGGCGCTTCAAAAAACCGCGACACAAAGGCAATAGAGACTGGTTACTGGCAGTGCTTCGAGTTCATGCCGAACCAAAAGCCCACGTGGTTCAAACATGAAGAGATTGGGCGAGGTTTTGGGTACATCTCGGGTGTTTTTTGCGGGCTTGCGTGTCCTCACGAATCATGCTGGAAGGTCTTTATGTGTGATAAACAGGCTTCTGGCAGAAGCACCGTGCATCTTTCGCAGTGTATGGTAGAAGTCCAACGCGCGGTGCAAGCGACCGAACCTTGGGGACCAAATGAACCCGAAAACTGGGGTCACATGCCCTACACTATCATAATTCCTATTAAGGCATACGAAGCATAAGCCCTTTTACGGTTCATTTCGTGCCCAAGGAACTAATTTAGGGCGCAATAGCGCCGGAGTTTGAGATTTTGGCATTCAACCGTTCCGAAGAAGCGCGGCTGTATTCGGTATTTGCCAAAGTAGGAATACCCCTTGTATACTCCAAATAGATAGCCTGATCGCGGGCTTGGGGTTTAGGGTTTAGGGCTTAGGGTTGGACCCCAAGATGGGTACCGTAAACCCTAAACCC